TGACCAGCGTACATGCCCCTTACAATGTAGCGGGCGGGTGGGTGGGAAGGTGACGTCGGGACGGTGCGTGACTAACGCACGCACCACCCCCAAGCAACGTCACAGCCAGTACAGCGCCCGCCACAGTGGGGAGTGTTGGGGTGCACAATGCGCCTCCTCCCCTCGCTAGTATCTTCCCCAGAGCCGCGGCAAAGGCGTAAAAGAGCCACATGCGGCTCCGGAGCCGCGGGTTGCAGACCCCTGCTCCATGGGGTCGTCATTGCAGTGATTTAAGGACACATGCAAAACCTTTGTATCAGAACTGAAAATCCGCATGAATTATCCAGGAAAAGGAACAAGTAAGCAAGTTCTGGCATGACTCTAGAATCTTGATTGTGGAGTTTCTGGGAAAACATTTTTGCCTATGTATACTCCTGCTGAAATAATTCCTAGAATTCTGCCTTGCATTCAAGATTTCAAAGCAAGAACTAGACATTACCTTGGCAGATGCTTTTGCTTCCAAACCTGTATTTGTTGGGGTAATAATACGTTTGCAGAGGAGGTGTTTACAATGTTTCTAAGGTGAAGGGGTGCACACTCTGCGAGGCCAGTTTGCCTACCAAAGGCCTTGCATCCTGTTGTTATGAGAAAAACCTGCTCCTTTTCCCTTAAGGGGTACCCAAGAGCCCATATAGAGTCCTTTTGTAGGTTCTCTATCGGTAGGAGAAAATAACAGAGACCAACCAGAGAATATTGAGAAGCAAAGCAGCTAGTAAGCCTGATCTTTATTAAAGCTGTTGCAACAGGGTGCTCCCCCCCACACACACACAGAGGAGGGGGCGAGGGACCCAGAACAGAGGTGTGCCCGCCCTTATATAGACTTTGAAATTGCCCACCCTCAGACTCCAGACCACCACCCAGAAACATCATATGTACATCACAGAATGGGTGTAGCCCAGGACCACTTCCCCCAATACATCATACATGAGTGTGTTGTTTACTTCCTGTCTGCCTTTTACCTGATTGCATTATCTGGGTTTTGGCCACTCTTTTGTTGTTATAATTACTTAATTCCTGAATCCAGGTCACAGGCTCACCCTATTCACACCTTAGTAAAGGTAAAGGGACCCCTGACCATTAGGTCCAGTCACGGACGACTCTCGGTTGCGGCGCTCATCTGGCTTTACTGGCCGAGGGAGCCAGCTTATAGCTTCCGGGTCATGTGGCCAGCATGACTAAGCCGCTTCTGGAAAACCAGAGCAGCGCACGGAAACGCCGTTTACCTTCCCGCCGGAGTGGTACCTATTTATCTACTTGCACTTTGACGTGCTTTTGAACTGCTAGGTTGGCAGGAGCAGGGACCGAGCAACGGGAGCTCACCCCGTCTCGGGGATTCGAACCGCCGACCTTCTGATCGGCAAGCCCTAGGCTCTGTGGTTTAACCCACAGCCCCACCCACGTCCCATTCACACCTTAAATGTGCCCTTAAGGCAGGATTTGTGAGCACAGAGACAATGGGGAGATTTCCGATTTCCTTCGACCTTGCAGAGAAATATTTGAGGTCTTTTTGGGAGAGAGAAAATGGTTTCAGGACTTTTCTGTGGGTTTCAGACTTGTGGTTTACATATTTGTATGTGTTTGCTTGGTATATATATATATGACCTTAAAATTCTTATAACACTGTTTTGGATCCTGGATGGGGGAAATGGAGAAAGGTGTTGTCAGGAAAGAATCTTTGGGGAGAGGGAAGGGTCGATCACCTCCCTCCCATTCACAAATCCTCTGCATTAACATTACCAGATAAAAACAGACTTGGTAATCCTCAAATTGCCTCATGATCTGTGGCTTTAACCTCCAGGTGACCTTTTTGTACTTGGTCATTCTGAAGAATTTATTCATGCTGAAGTATATGAGGTCATAACGACTTAAGCAAAAGAGAAAAACATTCCCCCCCAGTAGTTAGTGTTTTATTTTTTTTTTTTAAAAAATACTCCTTCATTATGCAATCATTTTGCTGGAAAGGGCTGTGAATTTTTAATACTGCACCATAATGGAAAACCTGCCACATCTCATACCCTCCAACATTTCGCTGATTAAAATAGGAACATCCTATTTAACAACAACAACTACAACAACATTTATACCCCGCCCTTCTGACTGGGTTGCCCCAGCCCCTCTCAGCAGCTTACAACATACATAAAACATAATAAAACATTAAACATTAAGAAACTTCCCTAAGCATGGCTGCCTTCAGATATCTTCTAGGTTGTATAGTTACTTATCTCCTTGGCTCTGGGGTCAGATAGCTCCATGCCCTCTAACATTTCTCCAGTAAAAATAGGTACATCCTAAGGAAAAGTGGGACATTCTGGGATCAGATCAGAAACTAGGGACTGCTTCTGTAAATCTGGAACTGTCCCTGGAAAATAGGACACTTGGAGGGTCTGATTTGCTCTGAGTCTCCATCAAATCTATGCACTTGCATGATGGCTGTTTAATCACTATAGCAGTGCTTGGAACTTTTTGAACTCCTGCTGTATGGCGTGAACACAGACCCGGCTTCTGTATAAACCCGGAAGTGGTTTATACTCGCACTCACTGTCCTCAAAACAAATCCTTCAGAATGCAGCCAATGTCTACCACATTTTGGAAGGCTGTTCTGTCTTCCATCTTCTTCCCCTCCATGTGAAGTCAATGGGCCATCTTCTTGAGAAGCTTTGTGGATTAATTAGAGTGACACGTAGCTCATGCAATTGTTTTTGTCTGGATAAACCAAAACAAAAGAGCCTGGGCAATAGAAGATTGCAGAAGGTCCTCAAGTCCCATGTTCTCAGCCAATCATATTGTTCAGGAAGCCTCAGTTGTATATGGGTGTTGGAGTTCCCTACCAGGACAGACTTTGCTCGTGTGCTCAAGACATTGATTCCATAAAACATATTTTGTTGCATTGTGCAAAATATGAGCAAGCCAGGGCTGAACTGATACTACCCTTGCTGGTACCTTTCCCAGGAAAATCAGAGGCTTACTATGTCAGGTTCCTACTGGAAGACCGGACAAATGTTAAACATTAGCAGTGGCAAAGTTTTTATCGGTGGTTGCAAGATCAAATGAGCCCCATATTCTAAACAAAATGCTTGTTTAACCTGGAGGTAGGCTGGGTGTATTGTTTTGTAATGATTTGTTGGGTCTCTGGACCGTAATAAAGATTGATGATGATGTATATGGGTGTTGGCCTTTGATAACCTTCTGAGAGGAAATAATAATAATAATTTATTTTTTATACCCCGCCCATCTGGCAGGGTTTCCCCAGCCACTCTAATTAGTGATCAATAACATTCAAAAGTGTGTTTGGAGAGGTGGGGGTGGGTTAGATAAGTGCTAATGATTGTAACCTGCCTTCCAAACGGGTAGAGTTGGTAAGCAAGCAGGCCTAAGATGATCAATGCTTGCTTCTACTCCCCGCTTGCAATACTTTAAGGAATTGCTTGTGATAAAGATCAATTTCTTGATGTATCCCTTTGCTCCGAAAACAGTGTTAAATTGCTTGTTTCTCTGCTGATCAAATTTGGAACGGCTTCTCCCTCCCTCCCTTTATACCTGCAATGAAGGATTACATTTCACGAATCTGATAAAGTTGACTTTTGTCCACTAAAGGTTATAGATATTTTTTTTTAGATATATGTTCCAAGGCCACCGCCTTGCCAGAGAAAGCTCTGCAGCTTATTTTAGTTTTTGTTTAGTATTTTATTTTTATTTTTTTTTAAAGTTTTGCCTGAGGTATGTTGATTAAAGGTTATGCCATAATAAAATGGTTAGCCTTCAAGGTGCCACAAGACAGTATGTGATTTTGACTTTCAGAAGGGTGATTTACTCCCGGTGACTTAAGATGGATATTGTGAAGAGTTATTTCATTTCTAAGGATTGTATTCAAATGTATTATACTCAAAAAGACCCATTGAAATGAATGGACCTAAACGTCAGTGGATCTGCTCTGTGTATGATTAATGTTGGATATTGCCCTAAAAGTCTGACCCAATGTTTGTAGATCTCTGGGTGGCATTAGTTGTGTTATCAAGCACAACTAAATGGCTCAGGAGCGCAATACCTCAAGGACCGCCTCTTTCCATATGAACTTACCCGGACCCTGAAATCATCTTTTGAGGCCCTCCTTCATGTGCCTCCTCCTTGAGAGGTCTGGAGGGTAGCAACACGAGAACGGGGCCTTCTCTGCAGTGGCTCCCCGTCTGTGGAATGTTCTCCCCAGGGAAGTTCGCCTGATGCCTTCATTAGATACCTTTAGACGCCAGGCAAAAACTTTCCTTTTTAACCAGGCCAAGCGGACCTAATCAACATCCTATGCCCTTTAAAATGTGTCTCTTTTTGGGGGGTGTTATTGAATTATTGTTTTTATTTTTATTTTATATCTTGTGTTTTTTTGTGTGAACTGCCCTGAGACCTCCGGGTATAGGTAAAGGGAACCCTGACCATTAGGTCCAGTCGTGACCGACTCTGGGGTTGCGGCACTCATCTCGCTTTATTGGCCGAGGGAGCCAGCATACAGCTTCCGGGTCACGTGGCCAGTATGACTAAGCCACTTCTGGCGAACCAGAGAGCACACGCAAACACAGTTTACCTTCCCGCCAGAGCGGTACCTATTTATCTACTTGCACTTTGACATGCTTTTGAACTGCTAGGCTGGCAGGAGCAGGGACCGAGCAACGGGAGCTCACCCCGTTGCGGGGATTCGAACCGCCGACCTTCTGATCAGCAAGTCATAGGCTCTGTGGTTTAACCCACAGTGCCACCCACGTCCCAGTTATAGGGCGGTATATAAAGTCAATAAATGAATGAAAATGAATAGCTATGCTCAGTTATCACCATTTTAGCTTGAAAAAGCAACCCCAATTTACTTCAGGAAAGCTTTGCTTCCGCACCTGGTTTGTATGTAGGAACAAAGTAAATGCTTGGAACAAATGTAAATTTGTCACGTTCAACAAAGCGTGTTTTTTTCTTGTCCGCAGCTGACGATCATTTATCCAAAATGCTTGTTGGCAAATTCAAAATGGCAGCACTTTGCAAGTTTTGTGACGTGATACCAACCAGCTGCACGAATGAGGGCCATTGCATGAGCGGCTGTAACATCACTTCTATATGTGCGGATAAGAATGAAGTTTGTGCTGCCGTCTGGTAAGTTCACTCTGGCTAAATACAAGCATGTGCATTTGGTCTGTAGTTTTCTTAACCTGCAAAAGTATAAATTAAATGTTTTTCAGAATTTGCGAAGTCAGGGCTTTCTTCAATTCCATGTTTCCACCATTCAAATAGGGTTGGATCTGCAATATATGTGTTTGTAATTTGATACTTGGCCGAAAGGTCTAGAGACGGATGGCAACTAATCATTATTTTGGTTCTCAGTAAAGCATTAGATGCATATAGCCTTAACCCGTCATTCTTCATTCCAAAATAAGGATGTGCAAGATTAGTAGTGATATACTTGCATTCTAGTACTAACGAAAATGCTACACTTGCCAAGCTTTTGATTTTCCTTGTCTCAAAAGAGATTGGGGTATCTTGTTGGCTACTGTGAAAACAGGATTCTGGGTTAGATGGGACCTTGTTCTCATCCAGCAGGCTCTTCTTATAGTCTTATGAATTATTCTTGCTTTGAGAGTATCAGAATTCCCTGGAATGTAGTGGTGACTCTTGATTTCAGGCACACACCTCAATGGAGTTGTGAAATCTGTCAAAACTGCAATCTGTTGTATCTAACCTGGATAGGTCATGGAATCACATCACAAGATGTTCCCTAATAGTAAACTTTACCAGGTCCTGCGTAGATAAAAGTAATGACATTGCTGACACTGCATTTGTGTCTAGTAGGGACACGGGTGGCACTATGGTCTAAACCACTGAGCCTCTTGGGCTTGCCGATCAGCAGGTCAGAATCCCCACAATGGGGTGAGCTCCCATTGCTCTGTCGTACCTCTGCTCCTGCCAACCTAGCCATTCAAAAGCACACCAGTGTGAGTAGATAAATAGGTACTACTGCGGCGGGAAGGTAAATGGCGTTTTCATCCACTCTGGTTTCCATCACGGGTTCTGTGTGCCAGAAGTGGTTTAGTCATGCTGGCCACATGACCCGAAAAGCTGTCTGTGGACAAACGCCGGCTCCCTCGGCCTGAAAGCGAGATGAGCGCCGCAACCCCATAGTCGCCTTTGACTGGGCTTCACGGTCCAGGGGTCCTTTACCTTATACCTTTGTGTCTAGTCAAAGAAGATGTCTGGTACATGTGCAAAATCTGTACAAACAAAGATACATACTGGCAACATCTTTATTATACTAATATAAAAGATCGGCAGCATGATAATTTTCCAAAAGGATACAAGTTTAAAAATCAGCACTGTACCAATCACCGTTTCAGCGATGGAGTGTCATTCTTCAAAGGTGCCAGATCCTTCTTTATATTTAAATTCCTTTCTAAAGTATATAATTCTGTCCTTGATAACATGCTATAGAATGTCAGCATTGGAAATATTGGAACAAAGTTAAACATCCAGCTGTGCAAAATTATATATAAAATACAAGCTGTCTGAAAACCCACCTTCACAAGCCAAAGGAAAGAACAAACTGCAGTATACTAATTTATTTTGATTTATTGGGCATTTGTGGTGGGTGGGTGTGTGCACACAAACACATGTAAGTTCAAATTTTGCTGGATCTGATTTTTACCCTGCCTTACAACTTGTAAGGAGAATGGACAGTTCCAGTGCATGGCTGCTGGTACACAAAAAGAGGGGCTTGGAGAAGTGTTACCTGTCAATGCTGTGACTTGCAACAAGAGACCCATCACAGCGTTACAGTACCCAACAATTCTGGATTCTAGCCAGGGCCGGATTTAGGTTTGATGAGGCCCTAAGCTCCTGAAGGTAATGGGGCCCTTTATATGTCTAGCTATGGGATGCGGGTGGCACTGTGGGTTAAACCACTGAGCCTAGGACTTTGCCAATCAGAAGGTCGGCAGTTCAAATCCCTGCGAAGGGGTGAGCTCCCGTTACTCGGTCCCTGCTCCTGCCAACCTAGCAGTTCGAAAGCACGTCAAAGTGCAAGTAGATAAATAGGTACCACTCCAGCGGGAAGGTAAACGGCATTTCCGTGCGCTGCTCTGGTTTTCCAGAAGCGGCTTAGTCATGCTGGCCACATGACCTGGAAGCTGTACGCCGGCTCCCTCAGCCAATAAAGCGAGATGAGCGCCGCAACCCCAGAGTCGGCCATGACTGGACCTAATAGTCAGGGGTCCCTTTATCCTTTACCTTTCTATGTCCAGCTGTCCTTTGTCAACAACAAATTGTCGCTGTTTTTTGTGTTGAATATATGCTATATGGTCATTTATGGACCTCATAGGTATCTAAAGCCATTTGCACATGTTGCCATTCAGTCAGTCCATGCAGAATGTAGGCACCCTATATATTGAAATGAGCAAACCAATGATGTTTTAGGGAGCAGGCGGGGCCCATTAGTTACATCATAGGAGCCTACACAACACAAAACACTGTTGCTGTATGTAGGTTTTATTTTATTTGTTTTTCATCTTATATTTTGGAAATGTACATCCAGTTTTTTTCTCCTTTAATTTTTTTGGGGCCCCCAAGAGAGTGGGACCCTAAGCTGTAGCTTGTTTAGCTTATACATAAATCCAGCACTGCAAGGAAAGACAGATTGGGAAGTTACTTGAAGACCAGGTACCTTCCTGACTTCCCACGAAGAATACAGCTAACCACTTGATGTCGCCTTTGCCATGCTCTGTAATTGGCAGAAGCCCCAATGGGGGAAAGCCTAGTCACTGCTGTAGTGTTCGCCTTTGCATAGGAAGTAGGGAGGAAGGGGTGAGGCTTTGGAGATGGTATTGGTTCTTCCAGAGCCTGTTTATCCTATTCAGAAGAAAGGTTTGGTCCTAGGGTATGGCACTGTTGGAGGAGTGCCAGACTTCCTCCTACTGAAAGTTCAAACACACAGATGCAGAGACATCAGATGCTATAAATAAACTAGGTTGGTTTATTCTTCCTGAAGAATAGGAGAAGGATGAAACAATGATCATCTATATCTTGCAAACACCTATATCCGAGGATGTCAGAGAATTCCAACGGAAATGGGAGAGGAAATTGCCAATGCTCGCTCAATGGTCCCATCTCTGCAAGAGAAATCAGTTAAATGAATATGATCGGTATTTACTACTGCCGTTTTCTGTCTGCAAACAATACATAATTGAAAACACACAAACACACACACTCCAGTTTGTGTTGTGTTTCCTTTGCATTGGCATGACTGGTGTAGAGTAACATACTGATAATTAAGGACGTGAATTCCACCACAGTGGACGACAAGATGGGGGAGAATACTGGATTTGCTGGAAGCTGAACTGCAGCAGAACGGAAACAGGGATGTCTTCTTACATCCCTGCATGAATCCTATGATATCACAAAATCACACATTTCCGTTGTACTAGTAGTTGGTTTCATGGGTCATAAAACATTGCCCCCTGTGTCTGGAGCAACTTTGCAACAATTTGTGCAGACCCAGGGACTGCCACCTCTGAAATTTCTGTATTACTATTGGGCAGTTGGCTTTCACTGTGTTAAAAATCAGCTGCAAGTTACCTTGAACTGTGGTCCTGTTGCTAGTTGGCTAGCTTCATATGTCAGGCTGATGTTGGGCACATCTGAGATGTACACCCTAGGGATTTTTGCATCTCTAGGTTATATCAGCCATGATCCATCATGTTGGACAAAACCGCTAGACATGTGCTTGCAAAAGGCTCCCTTGAACATCTGTCGGAGATTGCAAGAGAAAGAGAGAGGGCAAACATCACGTAGACCTCAGTACATGGCATTTATCTTAGTGGGACACATGTTGTACAAGTTTGAATTATGCGATGAACAGGCGGAATGCAGGGCATTTTTGTTTTCGTTGTTTTTGTTCTTCCTTGTGTCTCACCTTTCATCCAAATTGGTTCCCAAGATGACTTACAGGCACAAAACTCCATGCTGACAAATCTTGGAAAGAATTAAGTTCACTCTGGTGAAGGATAGCGCTGTCACTCTGGAAAGATGCGTTTCGAACCATTTGCCCCCAAGCAGCGGCACCAAAACTAACCTAGCATAAGTTACAGAGAAGTTGTAGCTGTGATATTTTCAAAGTTTAGATGAGACTCGACAACTGGCTAGCTTTACCTTGAATGCCAGGCCTCTACCTTCAGGTTCATGTTGCCATTGTTTTGATTATTTCTGCTGCTGCTGCTGTTGTTTAAAAAGTCCTATTCTTGTACAGGAGGAAGAATGATGAAAACATAACCTTGGAAACAATATGTCATAATCCCGCACAAAAGCTGCATGGGCACATTTTGAGTGACTACAATTCGGATAAATGTATAATGAAAGAGATGAAGGGAGATGGTGGTTTGCTGTTCATGTGCTCCTGCAAAGAGGAAGAATGCAACAACGAACTTATTTTTTCAGGTAAGCGTTTATGTGTGTGTGTATAAAGGTTTCATTTTGAATATGCATTGCACTTTTAATTTGCTTTCCTCCACTTACCCCCTTCCTGTTACGCTGTCGGGTGTGGCGTGGGGGTGTTGTTCTTTTTAGGATATCCTCTCATAATAGAATTTCCTGTTGTGAAACATCCTAACCTTTGTCACAGCAGGAAAGGTCAGTAGGAATCAGAATAGAGGAGCTATTTTGTCACTTCAAGATCTGTAGTGTTAGTGTCACGCATGCATGCTGTGTGATGTGGGCACCACATGCCATGCGACGTGTTGCACTCCGCGTGGCTTGTGTACATGACGTGAGCACATCACGTGCGCTGGCCTCCTCAGTCGTGCTTTGTAGCCGCATGAGTCCCTGACGTCGCATCCGGTGCGGGACTACCGGGAATGACTTGCATAGACGGCCTCATAGGCCATAGTAGCCCTGTTGGGCCAGATTTGGCCCGCAGGCTGCAGGTTCCCCACCTACAGAATATAAGGAGAGAGACGTCAACGCCAAGCCGAAATTGCTAATAATTTTATCGTTCTATTATATTTGTAAACCACTTTGAGGGTGTGTTTTCTTAAATAATCCAGCGGTATATAGATTTCGTGAAATGAATAAAGCTAAGGCAGTTTGCCTGCTCAGTAAGGGTGAATCGTAACGCTATAAACAGATTAGCAGAGAGTACGAAGTGGAGGTCCAGGGAGTAAATGTGAGGTAAACGAAAACTTATCTCAAGTCAAGATCGATGCAGTTTTTTGGTCATCCACTTTTATTATTTGGTAGGCTGATATATTCTTGCAGAACCTCTGAACAGCGCAAAACCACAACAGAGGATTGTCAGGCTTATGTGGTGTTTTATAAGTTTACTCCTTCACATTTTGTAAGCCCCTATCTTTACACAGCCGGTAAAGACACTTGATGAGAGTACCTGAGGGAGGCTTTGGCTTTGATCTTGTCTGCAAAAAAAATTTAAACTTGCATTTTTTTATCTTGTCTGCCTTACTTAATGGAGTGCATTATCTCGGTGCTGGCAGGGCAGTCAGGCAGATAATGTGCTAGTAGCCGACTTTAATGATTTCATTCACGTCTCTGTTTTCCCATCTCTGTAGACGAAAACCACCTGGAAGGTACTTTATAGAAATGTATGAGAATTAAACAGGAATTTTGCAACACCTTTGCATGGCTTTGTTGGCCGCCTTCATGGTGGCACTGCAGTAGTGGTGGTGAGACACAGAGGACCTCTGATTAGAGCCATAAAATTGTCGAGTTGGAAGGGACCACAAGGATCATCTAGTCCAACCCCTCACAATTCGGCAATCTTTCGCCCATCGTGGGGCTCAAACCCATGACCCTGAAATTAAGAGCCTTGTGCTCTACCATCTGAGCTATGCAGCCTGAAATGCAGTATTAAATCTCAGAGCTAACTGAAGTAGGTGTAACTGTTGCCACTGCTGTATGTTGGTGCTTTTTAGTAGTTTTTATGATGTTGGGTTGTGGGATGCGGGTGGCGCTGTGGTCTAAACCACTGAGCCTAGGGCTTGCTGATCAGAAGGTCGGCGGTTCGAATCCCCGCGACGGGGTGAGCTCCCGTTGCTCGGTCCCTGCTCCTGCCAACCTAGCAGTTCGAAAGCACGTCAAAGTGCAAGTAGATAAATAGGTACCACTCTGGTGGGAAGGTAAACGGCGTTTCCGTGTGCTGCCCTGGTTCGCCAGAAGTGGCTTAGTCATGCTGACCACATGACCCGGAAGCTGTCTGCGGACAAACACCGGCTCCCTTTGGCCAATAAAGCGAGATGAGCACCGCAACCCCAGAGTCGGCCACGACTGGACCTAATGGTCAGGGGTCTCTTTACCTTTACCTTATGATGTTGGGTTGTATTAAATGTAGGGCTACACAGATTGTTCTGCTGTGCAAGGGAAATTCCATGCACTGACAGAGTAATCTCTCCCTCTGCTGCCCCTGTGCACTCCCTAAATCTGTTCTAGGTTTTCCCCCAATCCTCCAGAAAGGATTTGGAGATGGCACGAGGCTACCACCCTTTGTGGTAGCACTAATCCAGGCATAGGCAAACTCGGCCCTCCAGATGTTTTGGGACTACAACTCCCATCATCCCTAGCTAACAGGACCAGTGGTCAGGGATGATGGGAATTGTAGTTTCAAAACACCTGGAGGGCCGAGTTTGCCTATGCCTGCACTAATAATTGTGATAACCCCAAAATGGAGTTGAATGCTTTCCATTGGCTTTAATGATGAAGTGAGTGGTGATTTTATTTTATTTGTAACTTGTGTTATTTTTGCACATTGCCTTAAGCATTTTGAGAGGGGTGGGGGAGAAGCAATTAAATTCTAAATGGATAAGCTCTCAACTGGAGACACACAAGCAGTACTTTGACGAGCCAAACAGCATCTCTTCACTGATGGTGCCTGTTAAGTTGTGGGTGAACATATCAGATGACACAGCAATTCTTCAAACAGAACTGAACTGAAGGGTTCAGCCAGCCTGCTTATATAGAGCTCCAGTACAACGTAACTGTAACAACTTTCTGTAACTACCCAATCACTGAACGTCACTTTCGATCCCTTATTTGCATATGTGGACCTGAACTATCTGCAGTATCCCCCTGCTGGCCAGGGTGAGAACTTCAGTACATAACAGTGCCCCAAATGTAATGTACATTCTTCTTACTTCTTTAGCACGGGTGGGATCAGTGCCACTCCTATTTTCCCCCAGATGGATTGGGAATTGTACCACCCATGTATCCCTTCAGTAAGCCTCAGTTGTTGTTTTTGCTTTCTCCGTGGGTTAAGTGTGTTACTGAAATTTGTGGCATGCTCTCTACATCTGTTTATTGTGTATGCTGTGTGTAGAGCATGTCAGATGCTCACACTTTCCTTTCATATGTGCAGCAGACACTGATAGCTTCTAATGTGTAACAAATTATGAAACACATAGTCCGGCTGTGCTTATTGCTGTGAGTCATCTCTGTTTCACTTGACTAATAGTAATTTTAATCATATGTCAGTGCTATGGGATCTGCATTCCAAAGCCAACCAACACACCCTTGTAGATTTTGGCTGGCTTCTCACAGATTAGTCAGATTGTACTTGTTTTCTGCTTAAACTACACAAACCGGGTACAGTCCGCTTGTTGGAGTTATTTCCTGTCTCGGTGCTTGCAAAATTTGCCCCAGAAACATGCCGAAAGCTGTGTTCTCATTTCTAGTAAGGCTGTTGTGTTTTGCAAAACTCCCTTGGAGTAGTGCCTGTTGCTCTGAAAGGGATAACCTACATTGCTTCCTGGAAAGACTTTAGTCAGTCAATCATCTAATGCACCTCTACCACTGAAAGACTGATACTCTACGAAAATGTCTCAAATACTCAATTCTGCAACCTTTTTCTACACAAACCCACAAGGAGAGAACCAACTAATGTGTTTAGAGCAGGGCTCAGCACCTTTTTCAGCTGTGGGCCGGTCCACCATCCCTCAGACCATGTGGTGGACTGGTTATATTTTTTTTGGGAGGGGGGGGGAATGAATGAATTCCTATGCCCCACAAATAACCCAGAGATGCATTTTAAATAAAAGGACACATTCTACTCATGTAAAAACATGCTGATTCTTGGACTGTCCGTGGGCCGGATTGAGAAGGTGATTGGGCCGCATCCGGCCCATGGGCCTTAGGTTGCCTGCTCCTGGTTTAGAGTGCAGTCCCTAACTCAACAGATGTTAACTGAGCAGGAAAAGTGGTGGCTTTACATTTAATTGGGACGGAGGGGTTGGTTTGAGTGTGCTTAGGTTTGATAGTCATCTAGAAATGGCCCAAGATTAATTAGAATTGACCATCCTTTCCAACACCAGGGCAGTCTTCATCCTGGATATGTAATGTTCAGGGGGAAATAGCAGTATTCTGTAGTTTGGCTGGCAATTCCAGGAGATCTTCCTTCCTAGGGCTGGGCGATATATTGTCCATTGCTGGTTTGAAGTCCATATGGTGATATCGGTTTCATAATTTTTGACCTGGCAATATATCACAAATCATGATTTATTGTTGTTAGGCGCCCTGAGCCCGGCTTCGGCTGGGGAGGGCGGGATATAAATAATTTATTATTATTATTATTATTATTATTATTATTATTATTATTATTATTATGTGTGTGCGCAATATGCAGAAATCACAATGTGGGGGAAACCGTGAAGCCAGCCAATGCCTCTACATGCCTCCATCCTTATTTCAGACATCGTGATATATTGCAATGTTTAGTTGGGTGATATATCACGTTGTTGAAAACCAGATACCACCCTGCCGTATTCCATATCACCTACTTCTGCATGAGAGCCAGTGTGGTGTAGTGGTTAAGAGCGGTGGACTCGTAATCTGGGGAACCGTGTTCACTTCCCCGCTCCTCCACATGTAGCTGCTGGGTGACCTTGGGCCAGTCACACTTCTCTGAAGTCTCTCAGCCCCACTCACCTCACAGAGTGTTTGTTGTGGGGGAGGAAGGGAAAGGAGAATGTTAGCTGCTTTGAGACTCCTTCGGGTAGTGATAAGGTGGGATATCAAATCCAAACTCCTCCTCCTCCTCCTCCTCCTCCTCCTCCTCCTCCTCCTCTTCTTCTTCTTCTTCTTCTTCTTCTTCTTCTTCTTCTTCTTCATGCTCTGGTTCTCTTTCTCCCTTTTCTCTCTCCTCCCAGGAAAAAGGCAAACCTGTTTCTTATCGCCCCCAAACTAATATACCTTGTTCTGCCCTCCAGCTCAGGCCTCGAGACGTTTTGAGCTTTGGTGCTGCCTTCAACAGCTGGTGTTTGGGATGTTATCGGGAACGTTCCTCTAGGAAGTATTCAAGCGAGCCTCTCCAGATTTAGCGCAGGGTGTTTGTGCCTCCAGACCAGAGCTTGGCTACTTAAGAGCGTGCTCAGATGAAATCCCAAACTTCCTTTTGCAGCACTTGCACTCCCTCCACAAGACAACTGGCACGTTGTCAT